CTGGGCAGGTAACGCGGGGGGACCTCGTACCGGGGGTGTCACGGTGTCACCAGGCCGGGGCTTTTTCAAGCCCTTTGAGACGGCTGCGGGCGGTGGGTGGTGCGAGAAGCGGGGCTGCGGGAGCCGCGCTGCCGGCCGCGGCCAGCGCCAGGTCCTGCCTTTGAAGCCAGTCTTAACTTTTACTGCGTGTTTTAACACTTCTTCCTCATCAGATGCGTTTATTCACGATATTCTGTCCCTTCCCTTTAGTCGGTGGTTAATCAGAAAGGCGAATCAGTAGGTAGATAACAAAAAATGAAGCCCTGAGAACCTGGAAGCATGTGAAACTCTAATTGGTAGGTGTAACACATTTCTGGCTCCTTGGGTAGAAAAATGCTGCTGATAAATTTCGTGTAGAAGACATCAAGGGCTCTTGAACATGTCTGAAAGTAGTCAGTCGTCTATTTTGTTTTACCTCAAGGAATTTATTTTAATCGCTAGAGAATATTTTTAAAAGGCGTTTTATAGTGGAGGACAAAGGGAAATTTTGGACAGTTTGAAGTTCTTGGAACTCCTAGCATTTCAGCTGGCTACAGGAAGAAAAAAAAAAAACAACGGGGAGGCATGATGCCTGAGAGCACCAGGGAGCTCATGACAGGGGTTTTCAAGTCTAGAACTGGAATTGCATTGTTGCTTATCCTTCACGAGTTAATTTTAACTGGGAAGTGCATGGTTATGTTAACGTTAAAGTAAAAATAGTTGGTCAAATGTAGTCCGTGGAAGCTCACCAAAGGTATTAAACTCTTGAAAAAAAATAAAAATGGAGAAGGAGCTTAAGCTCTGACGATTTCCTCCCAATTCAAGTGAAATATAATTTTATCACAGTTGGGGAAAAAACAAAGGTCGCTAATTGCTCAGATGAGTGGTAAACCGGCAGCACCCTTTTTGAAATCACATCAAAACAGACAAGACTTATTTCATTCCTCTTTTACCGGTTCCCTCAAGAAAAAAAGAAAAATAATTCGAGCTGTGTGGATTTTATCAGCCTTCCTTGTCGATGACTGCCTTGTCCTACACAATAGTGGATTTTTTCCATCCATTTGCCAGTGATTCAATCTAACCCCCCTGCTGGGTTTACTGCATTCTTCTAACTTATTGGATAACTAGATGCTGAGAGATAACATTCCTGAAATTCGGGGGTAGGGAGATTAAAAAAAAAGTAGTAGAAGTCCTATCCGTGGGAAGCCTTTGGAGAGGGTTAAGTGAAGTGCACAAGCAATTGTTGTGGCAGAGCTCTCTGCTCCTCGGTAAATCCTCGTACAGTATGTGGCTGCACAGGGAGATTTCTTTGCAGAGAAACCTCACGTTTTCAGACCGTTAAGTTGATGAGATAACTGCTGGGGGGCAGTGGTGGGGTCGGGTAAATGAGGTGCTCTGATTGCAGGGGCTTGGTGCTTCTTCGAGGCTGGGGAAAGGATGTAGGTAGAAATCAAGATGAAGAGCTTCTCAGAAGCTGTTGGTTTTGTTTGGTTTTTTTTTAAAGAAACAGTAAATCGCTCCTGTGTTATTCCAGCTACTACACAATAAGCAAGCATCCTGCTTTTACTGACTATCTTTAAACCTAGCTTAATTTCTGAGGTAGGGGAAAGCTATTATCCTTTCCCAAAGGATATATGTAGTTGTGGTGCTTAGGGACATGGTTTAGTGGTGGAGTTGGCAGTGCTTGGTTAACGGTTGGACTTGGTGATTTTCAAGCTCTTCTCCAGCCCAAGCAACTCTATGATTCTATGATCCTCACTTTTTCTAAGGTAGAAGAGAAAAAAAAAGGTATAACTTTTCCTTACTTGTCATGCAGCAAGTCGCTACAAGCTGGGAACTGAATTTATTTGAAGTCCTGAGCTAGTGCCTTGCTGCCAGGCAGGGGAACTAGAAACTGAACTGTGTGACAGTGACAGTGAGAGCTGGCAGGGATTAGGGCTGGTAGCCTTCCCGCTGCTGCTGAGCACAGCTGCCTTCCACGTACTGGAGTTTCTTTCTCTGCTGTGACAGCTGGTACTTGCAAGCAGAGAAGTTACTCCTGGAGCTCCTCAAAGTTATGAGAATTAGGAGCATGGGCTGTGCTGAAGATTGGAAAAGGGGGCTTTGAATTTAATGCGATCTTATCAGTTGGAAAGTGGAAAATAAGGAAGTGCTATCAAGGATACAGAGATAAATGATCAGATGCTTCAGAACAGTCTAGACGTAGTTATCCTGAAGTGTCTCCGTGGGGGTAGCAGCAGTCTTTCATGCAGACGGTTCCACTCCACTTGAAACATTTTGCATGGCCACTGCAGGGGTGCAAACTGCAGTGTGAAACACATGTGCTTACGGAAGAGAGCCTGCAGAAGGAAAGACTTTGGGCTTTCTCAAGTAAAAGCTAAGGTTATTTTGCAACATGGGGAGACTGTATAGTTGGGCCTGGGAAACAGGACTGTTAAAGCCCTGAATGCTAAAGCATTTGGAAAAGAAGTTTTCATGTTTTTTCCTGTTCTGTTGGATGGAAATAAGTAGTCAAGTAAAGACTTCTCAAGCCCCAGTGTACAGAGTAGTTATGGAATCTTATGTTTTTTCAGTGCCAGTGCTTGCTTTCTTAATATCTAATCAGATTCTTGCAAAGATGAATGAGGTTAAGAACATCTATTCTTGACCTCAGTTGATGCTATTTATTGACCAAGTTCTGAATCATGTGCTTCTTGTACTTGTCTGCAGACTAGATTTCTCTGTATATTTTTTCATAGAGTTAAACCAACTTTAGAGGCATCAATTTAATTACATTTGAGGTGGGAAATGTATGCTAAAACTGTGCTTTTACTCTTGTTTCTCTTTCATTTGTAGAAGTTGTTTGGCATGAAAAAGGAGATTTTAAAAAGTATATTAAATCTCCCTGTTTATATATGAGGGATCTGGGCTGTTTTGATCATAGCTGTACTGAGAACACCTCCCTGTTTAAGGACATGTAACCTTGAAGTGTATGTTATTAATGGAATTGCATACATAGAGATTTGGATTTATTGCTCTGCAGACCATAGCATAACAAGCTTTTGATACTTGCATTTTTTAATTTATCAGGTTGGGCTTTTTTTAAGAAAAAGCTTTCATGTGCACTTTCTGTCACTCAGTATTAAACAGTTGAAGTTTGTTTTGTTGGATATGCATACAATACCCGTAACCTAACAAATGTCAAGATTTGCAATATCCTCCCTTACAGAGCTTTCACACTACCCCGTAACAGTAAAGTCAGCATGCTTGAGTTGTTTCTTGGACATGCTTCCCTTCCACCCTGCCATGTACAGGATATGCACATGTATCAGATGTGTGGTTCAATTACACCTCTAAAATGCAAAGCCGCAAATAGCTCCTGTGCTTGCAGAGTCTTTGGTTCCCCTTGTAAGACAGTGTGGGATAGTAACGTGGAACCAGAGCTGAGCCTGAGATGAATTACTGGAGATGCAAGGCTTGAATAGAAGAGATCTCATAATACAAATTCTCAGCTGTGGCTGAGGTCTGCAGTGTGCCCCGCTGGGTGTGTGGCAGGTGATGTACTTGGTTACTGCACCCTTGATACCCATCAAAACCGGACCATTTAATTAAAGGGAGTTACAGGACATTTCACCTGGTGGGAGTGGAATTATCTGCAGTCCTTCCCACTTCCCCCTCAGCTGTGTGAGAGCACTCCTGCCTCCTGTGCCCCGAATGCTTGCCCGCCTCAAGCAGGGTGCGAGTTTGTTGGTTGAAAGATGGCTAGGCTGAGCAAAAACATCCTGTTTTGGTTTAGAATGTCTCTTATCCTGTCTTCCCGTGCTGATCTTTCCCTGAATGATGTATTTTACTTTTTGTCCACATGCACATTACGCTCAGTGTAACCTGTGGGATGCTGGTGGAGGAAGGGCTGGAGTGGACTTGTAGACCAGGTTCACTTTTGCTCCCTGTCCCTAAAAGTGGGTGAGCTGCGGATGCAGCTGAGCACCCTGTCCTGAGCAGGTCTGAAATGCCTTCATGTGTTTTGCAAGCAGGACTTGTTGCTTCGCTCTCTAATAATCATCAGCGTCAATGTGGGCTCATACCTGCGTGTGGGGTTCTGTAAGTTAATCTTTTCTTTACTACTGTGGCTTTTTAGAGGTTGTTTTTCATGTGAGTGTGCTTTTGAAGTATTTAAAAGCTAATATTGGGCTTACTTTTGCTGTTGTCAGCCCTCTTCGGTAGTAATTACTTCCATAATGGCAGAGTGGATGTTGTTTAATAGATCAATGTACAATTAACTGCTCTGAAGTTCTTGTGTTTTCTATATGAATTTCTGTGAGATGGTTGACTAAGAATTACAAACTGAAATGCAAACACAAAATAAGCTTATGTGATGTTTTGCTCAGTCTTATGGTGCTTTCTTTGTCTTCCTTGCATCGTGTTCCTTTTAAGCCATTTTGCAGGTGCTAGCTGCCTTGCTGCACTGCTCCCTTTTTACCTGTATAAAGGGATTTGTGATAAACCTTTTTCCATCAAACCTTATGAGATTCCTTTTGTATTATTGTTTTTATGGTGAACAGAACTAAGATGCAGATTTCTTTGGGGCTGCAAATGAATTAGCGAAACAAAGAGCAGGACCTCAGGTTGATCTGCAAACTTGATTCTAGTGTCTTGTATCTTTAACGTGCAGTTCAGGTGAAGCTGGTGATCTTAAGAATAGCGAATACTCCGTCTAAATCTAGCTATTAGTAATGTGAACTTTTTAAAATTTTATTTTAAGGGAGTCCACAAGACGTCCCAGGTGACAGAGATGGTGAAATGAGTTCCAAAAGGTGCCGCACAGAGGAGACCAAAATCTGTGAGAAATGCTGTGCAGAATTCTTTGATCTCTCTGAATTCCTTGAGCATAAGAAAAATTGCACTAAAAATCCACCTGTTCTAATCATGAATGACAGTGAGGGAACAGTACCCTCTGAAAGCTTTTCTGAAGCTTCTCTAGGGAGCTTTCCAACTGATCGAATGGATAGCAGGACACGCAAGGACATTCAGGCAAAGGGCTGCACTGGCTCTATGGAAAAGAGAGAAGGAAAAATGGATGCTGAGTCAGTAGGAGGAATGTACCTTAAAATAGAACCCCCTGTCACACCTGCGGCTCCTGGGCTAAGCTATCTACCAAAATCCAAAGTACCAAACACTAATGTGACTTTGCAGACGATACGCGGCACTAAAGTGGCTGTGAACCAGCGGACCTCTGATGCCATCTCGTCTTCAGCAGCCAGTTTTAATGCCATCCCCATGATCCTGGAGCAGCTCGTGTGTTTGCAGCAGCAGCAGCTCCAGCAAATTCAGTTGACGGAGCAAATTCGCATTCAGATTGCCATGATGGCTCCCCATGCCCTGCATCCTTCTATAGCAGCTGCTACTGATCCCCTAAAAGCTCTGGGCGCTCACATGTCTCAGCAGCTGTCGGCTGCTGTGGCTTTAATTGGACAAAAAGCTGGAAGCCAGAGCCTATCACTGGAATCCTTGAAGCAAGGAAAACTACCTCATTCTAACACTGGCGTTGCAGCTGCCAGCTCGCTGGCTGCTGGGCTTTCTGCCTTCCCTTTGAAGCCAGAGGCAAGCAGGAGCCTCCCTGGCTCCATTTCTCGGTTCCCAAATCCTTTGCTACCTCAGTCCTCCAACTCCGTCATCTTCCAGAATCCGCTTTCGGCCGTTTCTTCTGTAGTAGATTCCTCAAAGAAGGGGAAGGGAAAACCTCCCAATGTTAGCGTGTCTGAGAGCAAACCGAATGCAGAAGAGCCGTTCTTCAAACACAAGTGTAAGTTCTGCGGCAAGGTCTTTGGCAATGACAGTGCCCTGCAGATTCATCTCCGTTCCCACACCGGTGAGAGACCCTACAAGTGTAACATTTGTGGTAACCGCTTTACAACCAAAGGAAACCTTAAAGTGCATTTTCAGCGTCACAAAGACAAATACCCCCACATAAAGATGAATCCTTACCCGGTTCCTGAGCACCTGGACAATGTTCCCACTAGCACTGGAATCCCGTATGGGATGTCTGTGCCACTGGATGAGTCTAACCTAATTGTGGATAGCAAACCTCTCCTAACAACCCTGCCTACCTCTGCAGCCACCAGTGCACCTCAGACCGTCTCCAACCTAGCAGGCATCAAGGAGTCTCTGCCCGGTACGTTCTCAAGTGACGTGCAGTCAAGGCCTTCCCCAGACAGTGAGGGTGGCTCTTCCTCATCAGGGGCAGTCGGTCATGAATCAGGAACCGAGCAGAGCTTGAGTTCACCGCAAGCTACCTGCAGCGTGAGCATCTTCCACGTAAGTGGGTCAAACGAGCAAGGCTCAGAAACATCAAAGCTTCAGCAACTGGTTGAAAATATTGACAAAACCACTGCTGACCCCAACGAGTGCCTGATCTGTCACAGGGTGTTGAGCTGCCAGAGTTCACTCAAAATGCATTATCGTACTCACACTGGAGAGAGGCCATTCAAGTGCAAAATCTGTGGCCGTGCCTTCTCCACTAAAGGGAATCTTAAAACTCACTATGGTGTCCACCGGGCCAATACTCCTTTGAAGATGCAACATTCGTGTCCTATTTGCCAGAAGAAGTTTACAAATGCAGTTGTGTTGCAGCAGCATATCCGCATGCATATGGGGGGACAAATACCCAATACACCGATGCCGGAAAACACCTGCGACAGTACTGATGTGGATCCTACTGTGGCCGAGAAGAATGGAGACATCAGTCGCCCAGACGAGACTGTGGAAAACATAGAGATGGAAGAGGACTTGGACTCTCAGGACGGCCCTAGGAGTTCTTCAAAACCTCCTACTCCGTACAGTGCACAATCGGAATCATCAGCTACAGCTGCCAGCTTCTCTGGCATAGCAGCACTGGAGAATCAAATGAAGATCGTCAACTCTGGTTTGAACTTGCAGCGACAAAGCAGCTTGAAGTCTAGTGATAACGGCTCAGCAGAAAGTGATGGCATGACAAATGATTCCTCTTCTGTGGTAGGAGATCCAGATTATCAGAATGGCAGGAGTCCTGCTGCCTCTGAGTCTGCATCGCTCCAGGCTCTGTCCCCAGCCAACAGCCAAGCTGAGAGTGTAAGGTCAAAGTCACCTAGCTTCAACAATCAAGAAGATTCAGGCACAGGAAATAAATCAGAGGGTCCTGAGAACACTTCTGCAGAAATGGAAGGGGTCATCAGTGCTTTGGATTTAACTTACGGCAATATTGGTCGAAAGGTCATTAAAGAAGAACCTGGCTTACACTTTGCAAATGGAGAATATGGTGAGTAACATGAAATGCTGGCCATAACTTTGGGTGAGGCAGTAGGATTGGAGGAAATCCATCTCTAAAACAGGATGAACAGGAGTCAAAACCTCCCCAGCTTTCCCTTCTTCCTTCTCCTTCAGCA